GCACAGCCCAGGATGTAGTCACCACCAATCTCTCAATAAAACGGGTCAAGAATAGCAAGTCTGTTCATCAGTAATTAAATATAGGTGTAAATAAGACATATGGAATGGAATGGCTTTGTCAGGTTGAAAATATATCTAAGACTCCTTTTTTGATTCCTTCATTATCTATTCAACAAATATGTCTCTTTTATCATTAATTAACTTATTTTTGTTACAGATGTTTCTCCTTTTCCCCCCATTGACACCCTCTTCCTGATCTAGCCCCTCCCCATCACAGCATTGTTGTCTATGTCCATTGGTTATGCATATAAGTTCTTTGATTTATCTGTTCCCTTTCTCCTTGTCTGAGGTTTATCAGTATGAACCCTACTTTTATGTCTCTGGGTCTCTTTTGTTCATCTGCTTATTTTTATCATTATATTCCACAAATAAGTGAGATCATGTGATATTCGTCTTTCTCTGATTAGCTTATTTCATTTAGGTTAATACTCTCCAGTTCCCTCCATGTCATCTTTAAAAATAAGAGGGCTTTTTTTTTTCTTTATTGATTTTAGAAAGAGAGGGCAAGAGAAATAGAAACATCGATGAGAGAGAACATCAATTAGCTGCCTCCTACAAGCCCCGCACTGGGGATTGGGCCCACAACTTGGGCATGTGCCCTGACTAGGAATCGAACCTGCGACCTCTTGGTGCATGAGTCGACACTCAACCACCGAGCCACACCAGCTGGGCAAAAGATCTTTCTTTCTTACAGCTGCATAGTATTCCATTGTGTAAATGTACCACCGCTTTCTAATCCACTCATCTATTGATGGACACTTGGGCTGTTTCCAGATCTTAGCAATTATAAATAGTGCTGCTATGAACATACGGGTACATATATTCTTTCTGATTGGCTTCTTAGGGTATATTCCTAGAAGTGGGATCATGGGGTCAAATGGCAGTTCAACTTTTTATTTTTTTGAGGTAACACCATATTGTTTTCCATAGTGTCTGCACCAGTCTGCATTCCCACCCGCAGTGTACTAGAGTCCCCTTTTCTCCACACCCTCCCCAGCACTTGTTGTTTGATGATTTGTTGATGGCAGCCATTCTGACAGGTGTGAGGTGATACCTCATAGTTGTTTTCATTTGCATCTCTCTGATGATTAGTGACATTGAGCATTTTTTCATGTGTCTCTTGGCCATTTGTATGTCCTGTTTGGATTTAGCTCCTCTGCCCATTTTTTAATTGGGTTCTTTGTCTTCCTTTTGTTGAGTTGTATGAGTACTCTATATATATTGGAAATTAACCCCTTATCTGATGTATCATTGGCAATTATGCTCTTCCATATAGTGGGTTCCCTTTCCATTTTGATTGTTGTTTATTTTGCTGTGCAGAAGCTTTTTAGTTTGATGTAGCCCCATGTGTTCATTTTTTCCTTTGTTTCTGTTGCCTTAGGTGATGTATCAGTGAAAATCCTGCTGCATATGATGTCTGAAATTTTGTTGCCTACAATTTCTTCTAGGATTTTTATGGATTCATGAGTACATTTAAGTCTTTTATCCATTTTGAGTTTATTCTAATGTATGGTGTAAGTTGGTGGTCTAGCTTCAATTTTTTCATGTAGCTGTCCAATTTTCCCAACACCATTTATTGAAGAGGCTATCTTTACTCCATATTAATTGAGCATAATGACTTGGGTCAGTTTCTGGGTTCTCTGTTCTGTTACATTGATCTATATGCCTGTTATTGTGCCAGTACCAGGCTGTTTTGATTACAATGGCTTTGTAGTATAATCTGATATTCAGTATTGTGATCCCTTGTATTTTGTCCTTCTTTTTCAAAATTGCTGTAGCTATTCAGGGTCTTTTGTGGTTCCATATGAACTTTAGAAGTATTTGTTCTAGTTCTATGAAATATGCTGTTGGTATTTTGATGGAGATTGCATTGAATCTATAGATTGCTTTGGGTAGTATGGACATTTTAATGATGTTAATTTTTCCAATCCATGAACAAGGTATATGCTCCCACTTTTATATATCTTCCTCTATTTCTTTTTTCAATGACTTGCAGTTTTCTGTGAATACGTCCTTTACTTCTTTGGTTAAATTTATTCTTAGGTATCTTAATTTTTTTTGCTGCAATGCTAAATTGGATTGTCTTTTAGTTTCTCTTTCTGTGAGTTCATTGTTGGTGTATAAGAATGCCATTGATTTCTTGATGTTAATTTTGTATGCTGCTACTTTGCCAAATTTGTTTATTAAATCTAGTAGATTTTTGATGGAGTCTTTAGGGTTTTCTTTGTACACTATTGTGTCATCTGCAAATAATGACAGTTTCACTTTCTCCTTTCCAATTTGGATCCCTTTTATGTTTTCTTCAGGTCTAATTGCTGTGGCTAAGACTTCCAATACTATATTAAATAAAAGTGGTGAAAGTGAGCATCCCTGTCTTATTCCCATTCTTAAGGGGAATGTTTTTAGGTTTTGCCCACTGAGTATGATATTGGCTTTAGGTTTTTTATATATGGCCTTTATTATGTTGAGATATGATCCCTCTATTCCCACATTGATGAGCGTTTTTATCAGAAATGGGTGCTGGATTTTATTGAATGCTTTTTCAGCATCTATTAATATGATCATATGGTTTTTATCTTTCATTTTGTTTATGTGGTTTATCACATTTATTCATTTGTGAATATCATACCAGCCTTGAATAAATCCCACTTGGTCATGGTGAATAATTTTTTTAATGTATTGCTGGATCCGATTTGCTAATATTTTATTAAAGATTTTGGCATCTATGTTCATCAGGGATAATGGCCTGTAGTTTTCTTTCTTTGTAGTGTCTTTATCCAGTTTTGGAATTAGAATTATGCTGGCCTCCTTCTTCTTGAATTTTTTGGAATAGTTTGAGGAGAATGAGTGTTAGTTCTTTGAATGTTCGGTAAAACTCCCCGGTGAAGCCATCCAGGCCCGAGCTTTTGTTTCCTGGGAGTTTCTTGACTACATCTTCAATTTCCTTAGTTGTTGTTGGTCTGTTCAAGTTTTCTATCTTTTCCTGGTTCAGTTTTGGGAGACTATGTGATTCTAGAAATTTGTCCATTTCACCTAGATTGTCCAATTTGTTGGCATATAATTGTTCATAGTAGTTGTTAACAATCTTGTGGTGTCAGTTGTTTCTTCTCCTCTTCCATTTCTGATTTTGTATATTTGGGTCCTCTCTCTTTATTTTTTGGTGAGTCTGGCTAAGGGTCCATCAGTCTTGTTTATTTTTTCAAAGAACCAGCTCTTTGTTTCATTCAATTCTTTTGAATTTTTTTTTTTTTTTTAGTTTCTATGTCATTTATTTCTTCTCTGATCTTTACTATTTCTTTTCTTCTACTTGCTCTGGGTCTTTCTTTTTGTTTACTTTCAAGTTACTTTAAGTTGTAGGGTTAGATAGTCAGTGAGGTATTTTTCTTGTTTCTTGAATTAGGCCTTTGGTGCTATGAACTTCCCTCTCAGGACTGCTCTCACTGTGTCGCATAGATTTTCTGTTGCTATGTGTTCATTTTCATTGGTTTCCAGGAAGTTTTTAATTTCTTCCTTGATCTCCTTGGTAATCCATTCATTGTTTAATAACACACTATTTAGCCTCCATGTGTTTGAATGTTTCTGCATGTTTTTGTTGTAATTGATTTCTAGTTTCATGCCATTGTGATTTGAGAAGATGCTTGATATGATTTCAATCTTTTTGAACTTGTAGAATCTTAGTTTGTGTCCTAACATGTGGTCTATCTTTGAGAATGTTCCATATGCCCTTGAGAAGAATGTGAATTCTGCAGTTTTAAGATGTAATTCTCTGTAAATATCTATTAAGTCCATTTGATCTAGTGCATCATTTAGAGTCTCTGTTTCCTTGTTAATTTTTTGTCTAGAGGATCTATCCAGTGATGTCAGCGGGGTGTTGAAGTCCCCTGCTATGATTGTATGGCTGTTAATTTCTCCTTTGAAATTCTCCAGGAGTTTATTAATGTATTTTTGTGCTCCTATTTAACAAATATGTCTTCATTAATATTGGTTGATACCCAATTATACCCAGTGTATCAAATCACTTTACACATAAGATATGTCTGCAGGCATAACATTGGCTTTATGACAAATATAATCAAGTAAAGGAATGTCGCATATGCTTACCTCTTTAAGCTCAAACAAACCACACAAGAAAAGCAAATGCATTGCTTTACAGTAGTCCCTTATTTTGGGCCCAGTAGATTATGATTCAATCTCATCTACCATGTTATTTACCAAACTTAACTTGATAGATTTTTACTATTTCACCCTCCTCAAAAAACAAACACTTCCCTCCCCTGATGATATCCAAATTAATGTGTCCAAGAGTCAAAAGCTACATTCAAAAGGAAAATTCAGAGAATACTTTGAACTAAGGAAGCATAGTTAAAATAAGTATGTGACCTCCCAAGTTCACACACACACTCAAATTATAAACAGTAACCTAGAATGGTCAACTTCATATTTTTATTGTTTGACTTGTCACTTGATTTTATGTGTTTAGGTTCCATTATGGATATCTAGGGAATTAATTCAATTTTATAAATTTTAAAATATAATGAATACATATTCTGCTCTCTCTATAATAATGTGAGTGTATCATAGTGCCTGCTATTTAAGTTTTCAAATAAAGTCTCACATACGAAACTACATGTCACATCATTTACAAGTTTACTGAAAGTGCACCTTCATGCAATATTTCCAAATTGCATATAGTACTCTGAACATTTTAAACTAAACCTCCTTCTAAAAACTATTAGGTCAAGATGTCATTCTCCTTGTAAGCGAACTGGATAGATAAAATGTCCAGAGATGGTTTGCCTTTACAACTACATTCTTATATCCTAATGTCTAAAGTAATTTGCTCTAATTTATTTTTTTCAGAAGCAAAAGTCATCATGATACAATACTGAGACCAAACAAAATTTTACTGAAGGTCTTTTTTCATTGAAATTTTTATTGAGATAATTATAGATTTGCATACAGTCATAAGAAATAATGGAGAGCGCCGGGGTGGTGGGAGAAGGAGGCAGCGGCGGCGAATCCCTACAAATGGCCCCGAAGCAGGACCCGAACCCAAGTCCCAGGAGGGTGAGCGAGTGCTGTGCTTTCACAGGCCTCGGCTTTGTGAAGCCAGTGTGTAAAGGCTGCCGTTAAGGACAGACAAGTGAGATACTTTATACATTCCAGGGGGTGGAGTAAAAATTGGGATGAGTGGGTTCCAGAAGGCAGAGTACCCCAGTATGTGGACCCCAATCTGCCAAAACAGCAGAACTTCCAGAGGCCACTCAGGAACAGGACCAGAGGGGACGATGACAGGGGCTGCCCCAGGGAACAAGGCCTCTGGTCTGCAGCAGGACGTTGACATGAAAACAAGAAAGAACAAACAGGAAACACCTGGCAGTGGAGATGGTGGCAGTAGCAGTGAGGTGCCTCAGCCTCCTCGCAAGACCAGAGCTCGAGCGGATCCTACCGTTGAACATGAGGAAACATTCGTGAACAGAGCTGAAGTTAAAGTAAAGATTCCCGAGGAACTAAAACCATGGCTTGTTGATGACTGGGACCTAATTACCGGCCAGAAACGGCTCTTTTATCTTCCTGCCAAGAAGAATGTGGATTCCATTCTGGAGGATTATGCAAATCACAAGAAATAAGGGGTATGCGGTTAATGAAGTAGTGGCAGGGATAACGGAATACTTCGATGTGATGTTGGGCACTCAGCTGCTCTACAAATCTGAGAGACCACAGGGTGCTGAAATCCTGGCGGGTCACCCTGATGCGCCCACGTCCCGGGTGCATGGAGCGCCTCACCTACTGAGATTATTTGTACGAATTGGAGTGATGCTGGCCTGCACACCTCTGGATGAGAAGAGCCTTGCTTTGGTACTGAATTGCCTTCACGATTTCCTGAAATACCTGGCAGAGAATTCTGCGACTTTGTTTGGTGCCGGCGACCATGAAGTGGCTCCTCCTGACTCCACCGGCAAGCTGTGGGAGGCGCTCACTTACACTGACGTTGGATCTGTACCACATTTCTGTTCTTAGTCCTTCTCTTGTACAAATGATGTACTTTGGAAATGTTAGTTTATAACAGAACTGATGTTTGTTTTCTGTTTGATTTTAAACAGAGAAAATAAAAGGGGTTAGAACTCCTTTTTTAAAAAATGAAATAATAGAGAAAGATCCTTTGAATGCTTTTTGTAGTTTGTTCCAATGGTAACATTTTGCAAAACTGCAATATAATCTACACCTAGGAAACTGACATTACATAATCCAGTAATCTTAATTCAATTTCCCCAATTAGACTATTGTGTGCGTTTATTAAGTTTGATACAATTTTATCACCAGAGCAGATTTATGTACTTACCACCACAGTCAAGATGCTGATAGTTCCATTCCCACAAGACTCCTTTGCAATTTTTTTGCACTTGGCAGGCAGCTACACTGTGGTAAATGGAAAACACCAAAGTGTTGCCTGGCTTTCCTGTATTCAGTTATCACCCAGATGTGACTTTTCACAATAGATGTCCATTTTTCAAATCCATTTCTCATAATCCGTCATCCCAAAAGGATCAAGAGTACAACTGCAATTTCTTTAAATCAAGTCTTATTTTCAGCAGACCATACTCTCTGCACACTGTTGTCAGAACCAAAAGGACAGGAACTTTTTTAAGATGGCAAAACTCATCAAACTCCCAAGACCCATAAATGTTAGCATTCCCAGCAATAACCCATAAATTCTTTTGCTTTTGGTCCTGCTGCTCTGTCTCCCTACCTTTGACTCTCTAATCTGTGTTATTCTTTCTTCATCCTTGCCTGTTTTTTAGGAAGATACTGACAAACTTTTGGGAAGCTAAAGTCACAATTTTCTATTTTGAACTCCAAATATCAGAAGAACATGAAGCCAAACCAGCAGTTGGTACAGGATGCAGGTAATGCAGAAGAGGAGGAGGGTGAACAGGGAATGTTGTCAACAGCCATCCAAGTCATTACATCTTCGTGAAAAAAGGAAGATCCTGGTACAGAGTAACTTTTAAAATAGAGAACATGGTGAAACCAATCCGAACTGAACACGTATGCAAAATACAACTCAAGAACATGACCAAAGATGTTTGTGTGCTGAAGGTAAGCAATGAGCCTGCGTCTCAGGTTATCAAGCACAGACCACTGCTGCTACAGGCAGAACTGGGTCCAGGGGTGGGGTGCACCGTCTCAGCACCAGGGGCATGTCTACAGGTTTCAAGGCCAGCATAGCCAGGCCAGGGCAGTTGCACCACCTGACTTATCTCAGCCTGCGTTCCGTGGGAGGCAAAGCCATCTCTGAGTGCTTCGGGATTGCATAATAGACTCCATTCCTGGGATTTGGCTAAAGCACCAACCTAAAGGACACTCATGAAGTCCACTGGAGAAGGATACCTGTTTCCCCATAAGGGAAGGGCCTGGATGGTCCCACCACAGATGCTTGGACTTGAACAGAGATGCAATGGGATGCAATTCTGGGACAGCTCCTGTCTCTCAGTCATTAGAAGCAACCCAATGAAGTTCGCCCTCTGATATAATCATTACCTAACTGCAATTTTGACTAATTGTACCCCTCAGCATCTTCTTAATTCTATTCACCAACTAGGTGAATGTCTACCAACACCCTATAGTTGTGCTGTGAAGAGTTAGTAATGAATAATATTCAATAGTATTCCTTCTAAAAATCAATATGAGAAAGCAAAAAGACATGACAATTGTATGCAATTTGTGTTCATGATCCTGAAATGTATACAATATTGAAGTTATAAAAATAAACTATAAAATAGTAGTCTTTCTACGGCTTCATATTGCATTGCATTTATACATGTTCTTATAACATTTTTATGAGAATTATATAGTGCACCATATATGTTTTCAACAGTGATGCTGCAAACTTCCTATGTCTCCTGTTTTGCCTTACAAATGCGTTTTACACTAACTCATACAACTAAAGTAAATGAGTATTCTAAGCTGATGTGCCCAACTGATTTTATTCCACCCCAGTTCTATTGGAACTGCTAACAGCTCCAAACATATGTGTCAATGATCAGTTAGCACTGAAGAGGTTAGGTGCTCCCCCAGTGGGCTCCTATAGCACCTTGAGCTTCCTAGATGAGAGCGCTGATCACCTTGCACTGAAACTGTCTGTCCACTTGCTGGCCAACCCCAGGATAACCTGTCTGCAGAGCGTGGAATGTGTGTATCTCCTTCTCGTGGCCACCCACTGCCTGCGGTAGGTCTACAGCTGTGGAATGATGGACCACAGGCCCCTTCTGTGTGTGATCTGTTTCAGACTGCCGCCACCAGTGTAACTCGAACACAGGACTCCCCCAGCAATCTGCAGCAAAGGAGCTTGCCCATGCCTGAACACCCCAACCCCTCTGTGCACCCTTCTCCAGTTGCTGCTTTCTACGCTTGACACATAACGAATCAACGAGCTTCTCAGTGACTTCTGAAAAATAATCACCTGGCACGAAGCTCTTTAAGCTCATTAAGCTCTTTTGATGCAGTTAATAGTAATTCATTAGAAAAGTGTCCTAAATCCTGACTTTAACAAGGACAAAAGCACAGGGACTCATCTAATTCAACTCATAAAATTGAGCTACTGTACTTTTTTTTTTTTTCAAGATTTTTTTTTTTTTTTGTCTTTATAGATTTTAGAGAGAGAGGAAGGGAGAGGGAGAGAGAGAGAGAAACATCGATGAGAGAGAACATTGATTGGCAGCCTCCTGCATGCCCCCCACTGGGAATCAGGCCCACAACCTGGGCATGTGCCCTGACCAGGAACTGGAGACCTCCTGGTGCATGGGTCGACACTCAACCACAGAGCCACACCGGCCAGGCAGGGCTACCATACTTTTTGCCATGAACACAGTGAAAGGGATTCAACTGAGTGAATGAAAGCAAACAAAAGGGACGGCTAAGTAATAGCATATTAAATTTGTTTTGGGGCGGGGGACCGTTTCCAATGCTATAACACAGGGATTACTTTTGAACTGGCTTTTCCAATCTTTGCTAACAAATTCGGGGAGAAAAAGCAAATGACATCCTAATAACCTCTGCAGGCAAATCACACCATCCATCTGTGCAGCATTGTTACATTCAGAACTGAGAAATGAGACCCAGTAATGCAGTCAGATTAGAAAGGGAGGCAGGCAATAAAATAGGATCTAGCATCATAAGCTAGTATCTCTGTAGGGAATATTATAAAACACCTTTCTGCAATAGAAGTAAGGTCCTTGTAAAGGTATAATAGTGGAAAAGACATAGAACTGTTATAAGAAACTAAAACAGGATTTACTATGAGTGATGACAGCTACAAAAAACGGGGGAGGGACTGAGGTGTGGGTGGTAGAAACACAGGCATCAAGTCCCAGTTAGAAGTGATACGTTCGTCTCAAAAAGGACCTAGTGAATGGGTGTCACAGTGTTTTGCTTAGTTCTCAGGACTGTTGGTAAGAAAAATACAGAAAACTAAAGTAAATTTAGGAGGCAAAAGTAGTAAATATTTTAAAACTCAAGGAATAGTGTATATGGAAAGATTTGAAAGATGGGATCTGTGTGGTTTGCCTAAACAATGACTTTGCAGAGATACTACTATCTACAGATAGCTATAGAGTGTAAATATTTAAGGAAACATCCTTTGTTCTTGTACTAAACACCTGTGCCACCCAGCCTGTGTTGAAGATGTGTGGAAACATTCCCCCCACTACAATCTTAAAATGCAGTATTCAATACCGCTGCTCGAACATTTGTCGGGCGGGACCTTATCAACTGCTGATACCAAGACTGGTGCTGATGTTATTACATCCAACTTCCAACAAGCCAGGAGGTTTACTGTCATGTACAGAACTTACTGTATAGAATAAAGAAAACTCAGACTGGACTAGCAAGAGGTACAGGTGCTTTTTTCCAGGTTTCTTCCATTTTGCCCTAAATTTTGACCTAAAGTCACACAATGTGCAATATGGTCCCAATCTTTAATCATTTGTATGCACTGAAGATATAACAAAAATAGATTCTAATGAATCTAGGCTTAATTTGTATGTTTTAATCTCATTTACCTACCCTCAAGAAATGTGTAGTCTTCTTAGAAAGAATGGGCATGTGTATAAAAAATAATTCATCAGCCCTGGACAGTTTGGTTCAGCGGTTAGAACATCAGCCCTCAGACTTGAGGGTTGGACTCCCAGTGAGGGGCATGTGCCTGAGTTGCGGGTTCGATCCTGGCCCCTCTCAGGGCCACATCGGAGACAACTAATTGATGTGACTCTCTCACACTGATGTTTCTCTATCTATCTATCTATCTCTCAGTCCATCCCTTCCACTCTATCTAAAAATCAATGGGAAAATATTTTGGGGTGAGGATTAACAAAAAAAAGAGAACTAATTCACCAATATAAGATAGAACAGAATCATCAAATGGGATAGAAACACAATAAGTGACTCCTGAAAAGTCAAGAAGCCAAGAGATTTGGGGGTACTAAGCTAGCTCAAAGGTGGAGGGAAAATTTTCAGGAAGAATTTGGACTTACTGTTGTTTATTTGTTTTTCTTTTTTCATAAATGAATATTCAGCACCTAGCCCACTGAAACCACCTTTAAAATAACTGTACCGCCCTGGCCGGTTTGGCTCAGCGGTTAGAGCGTCGGCCTGCGGTCCGGAGAGACCCGGGTTCGGTTCCCGCTAAGGGCACGTACCTCGGTTGCAGTTTGTCCCCGGCCCTGGTTGGTCGTGCGGGTGGCAGCCACTCGATGTGTCCCTTCACGTCGATGTTTCCCTCTCTCTCTCTTCCTCTCTCTCCCTCCCACTCTACCTGAACAAAAAATGGAAAAATGTCCTCGGGTGAGGATAAAAAAAAAAAAAAAAAAAAAAAAAAAAAAATAACTGTACCTCTCTTTAATATACCCATTCATGTGTGCAGTACTCACCTGCATGCCTATATGTGCCAAGTAAGAACTGGGCATAGAGCAATGAACAAGTTTATTTTCCTGTTCTCGTGGAGTTTACATGAAGAGAGATGA